CTGGATCATGAGGTTGTTGAGCGAGGCTAGCTCAGGCTCGTACTTGGCGAGGAAGCGGTTGACGGCCAAATTAAACCTATGGCTGGCACACCCAACCAGAGGAACGCCAAGGAGAGTGGCAATCTTCTGGTTGGTGTTGCAGTTGTCTCCGACGATAAAAGCCACCATGGCGGTGGTTTTGTTGTAAACGTCGAGCACCGTTCGGATCATCTCGACGTGCGCTTCAGCGCTTTGGCCTCCTTCTCCCAAAGGTGACAGCGAGAGCAGGCGCTCACGCCGAGCCCCCATGACGTCGTAGACACCGTAGAGCCCAATGTAGTGCATAGAGCCGTGAGACCATCCATCGAACATCAGGCCGAACGAGACACCCAGTTCCTGGTCGATGACGACGCCCACGTTTTTGGCCACCGTATGCATGCACGCCTTCAACGCCTTGGAGGAGATGGGTGGCCACTTGCTCATCGAGCGCGAGACGTCGTTGTCGACCTCGGAGATGGGCAGATTACGCTCGACAAACCACCGCAACCACTGGAAGCGGTGGTTTGTCTCCTGGGAAACAAAGCCAAAGCTCTGGAGGGTGCCGCTGCTTGTCGCCGCCGAGTACATCTCCTCGTACTGGGGGTGCTTGGTGGTGATGTGTGACATTAGATTGGAGTAGCCACTGCCAACCTGCTGCTTCCTTGCAGTACCGCACTCCCTGCACGCGTAGCAGCCCGAACCGAGGTCGTCGTAGAAGAACGCGCAAATGTCCTTGGTGTTAACCATCTTGAGTATTTGAAAGTGCTTTCATCTAGGAGCTGTGAGCAGCATAGCTCCAAGAAATCGTTGGCTGCAAGCAGAGTTAGCCTCGTCGCCAGTGAATTCGACCTTTAACATATTGTATTACCTATTATTGGAGCAATGGTAAATTGCACTGAAATAAATGAAAACCCGTAATAAATAATTGACCGATAACAATAAAGTCATTACTGCGCGGATATTATTTTTTCGGTGGCCTGGTTTGCAGCATATCTTTAAAATGTGGAAGGATTCCATGTAAGCAGGGCCCGCTCATTGGGTGGTCAAGCAGTGGCAACAAGGATCCAGCACTCAGCAAGGAAATGGCTTGGGTGTGGCTAAGTCGGCGCCATCAGCGCCAGCAATTTCTTCTGTCAGTACCACGACCGCTGTTAAGCGGTGTCAGTTGGAATCGAATTTAGTTCGAGACCTTTTTTCCACGGAAGAAAACAGTGTTGCCCAAAAAATACTAAACCAAACGAATCGTGGTCTTTGAAGGATTGATCACATTAAGCTATAATGCAAGCCTTTTGTAAGCAACAAGCGGGCCATGGGGCTTCATCTTCTTCTGTTCATACACACCGCCAGCTCCTGGGTGGTCAGAAATCTCTAGAACTAAACTGTTAGTGCCGTCGGTCTACTCCAACCTAAATATCTCTGTATACACCAACTCGCCGGTTGCAGTACCAGCGTCCACAATCGTTATGCTGGGGATATCCGTGCGATTACCCTCCTCGAATTTGGTCTCCACACTAATTTCTTTCTTCACGGCCGTGCTCTCCAAACCTGATTTCGTCTCCGTTGCCGTCGTGGTCGCTACCTTAGCAGTGTTCACCAGCTCAAGCAAGCAAACGTAGACGAGACTGTTGTCGCGTTTGCCGTCTTCGTCAAAATGATAGTGTCGGCCTTCTACGACTACAACTCTCAGAGCGACCGAAGGGACCCAAAATGCCGAAAAATCCTCGCTTCCTTAGGTTAACGTCCCTGACACCAGGGGGGTGCCGATACGCTACACATATCGCAGGATAACTGCTGTAGATGCGTAGGCAAATCACACGTGCAAGCAAATAATACGCGTGACCCGGGAAAAGAGGTGGTTGAGTTGCTTGGTTTCCTTGTCTTGGAAGTGGATTGGGATCCAGTTATTCTAAAGTTTACTACTTCCTCTAGCAATTAATTTATAAGTTTTCCTTTTATTGTTGACAAACGTTGCGGGAAACGCTAGTATTGAATTACAAGGTTTAGCTAAACATAGGTGTTGAGTAAATGTTCGGATGCGTATTTGTAACGAAGTAGGTCTTTGTGCTGATCGACAGCAATTGACATTCTTCAAGAATGGCCAAGTGAGAACTCTTATTGCAATAATTGGTCAAAAGCCAAATTACTGTAATGCAATGCTTATTATGTGAAACGATTATATAATAGCACACATTTCACTTTTTCAAAACTGGTTGCTTGTGCAGTTATGAAGAGCTGGGCTCAATCCGATTTCAACCCCGTCATATTAGTGGCTGGCTGGGAGACTGGCGACTGGAAATCCTCAATACTGTACACACACTGGCTAGAATTGCTGAACTTGTTTGGACCCGTAGATGTACTGACTGAAAATTCTAAGCTTCCTTGGAACCGCAGACGTACAGGGGGGGGGGGGTAAACTTCCTGTGCTTGTTTCGTGCAGCCTCGAGTTCACGACTTGAATAAAATATGACTATTACTAACATTCAATGTTTCGCGATAAAACTCGGGGTATTGGTGCTCTAACCAAATTCACAGTGTATCAGTTTTGCAATACACAAAAAGCAACATTCAAGTTACTGCTCGAACTGATGGACATCAGAAATAACCGTTTTGGCACTATCACAGCTCTCTACATGATTAACATCTCTTCCAACAACGATACCAAGATAGCGTATCATTGGGCAATCATAATCTTTTATCTATAATTGATGTCGACTAAGAAAAATAGTAGGAGATCTAGCATCACCAGCAACTATATCATTGTCTTTAGACAATGTATGCTGCTGCTCCTCATTGTCGCAGACGACTGTATCACTAACAGAATATGATATACATCTTTTTCTAACGAATACTTCTAGAAATAGATATCAAAGATTCAGACACGTGCGTACATGTTTTGAATGTACTAAGAACAATAATAGTACCTGTTAGTAGAACCCTAAATTCTGAGGCTCTATCAAGGTGCTATCGGGCCAATGGACAACATCACGTTCGGGCACGATGGGAAGCAAACTATATAAGAAAGATAAGATCGATTCACACTCCTTGAAAACCGTCAATCCAACGCGTCTTTGACATGCAACACAATACCCTAACTTCAAGTCGCCAAGCCGGGGTGGTAGTAGAACGAATCAGATTGCAGGAAGGATTATAATCCCATGTGATCGGGTACAAAATGATATTTCGGCCATTTTTCAGTACATACATGAAATTTTTACTGCTGCACATTCAACCAAGCCCTCGTAAGTTGTTCATAGACGGAATCACGCTGCAAAATTTAACAAGTTTCTTGTCGTGGAGGAGGAACTTGCTCAGGAAACTAGAAACTGGAAAAGTAATTTACATTTAGCTACTAGACATGCTCTAGCTTACGGCCAGTGCAGTAGAACAACCCCACTTGAACTTCATCTACAACTAGATCAACCTAGCCTTGAAATCGTATGTAAGTATGGTGCATCCATCCACAAACGCTACTACCATACATCTCTGCAATGTGCAACTCAACTACATGCTTGTAGACCCTCTAGAGTCACAGCCACGCTGGTCAACGCCCAGTAGTTTTTGCGCTGTTCCTGCTGCTGCGGTTGAACTGCACCGCAAATAAAGTAGTGCAATAAGTCAAATCGCGTAGTTTTAGATAAATTGGGTGATAGATAAAAAAA